TCGAAGACCTCTTCCTCGAATGTGTCCATGATTACCTCAACATGGAAACGAACGACGGGAACAGTCTTGTTGTCGGTTTTATATCACCCGCTGTAAGTGATAATGTTGCTTTTGAAGGCTATCATCCTACGTTATTCGTCATGCATTGCTGTGGGTTACTTATTCACTTTTAGGATTCTTGCTTGGTGTTACAAGTGGACTGAATAACTTGTAACTTAGTTGATATACATGGACCCGTATTCTCCTGAGTAAGATGCAGTTAAAGTTGGAAACATTAGGGGCCTTTGGCCTGTTTCATTGGAAATGTCAGAAGATGCGTGTTTCGAACAGCTGACATTGATCGATAGCAGACCTAAGAATTCTATCGTAAACGGACACAGTAACAACTAACTAACTATCTCAAACGACACGTTGGCCTGAGAGCATTTGAAGAGCTTCAATCAATAGCTTTTATCTACATTGCTTCGCCGTTTCGTCTGGTGAATGTAGGGCCAGCAAAGTGGCCTACTTGAAAAAGATGCTTGGCGGTCAATGATCCCCAGTTCGATCTGACAGTTAATGGCGCTTACTTGTACAGCCACAAGGACGGTGGCAACTGATACGGAATATCTTCTGAGACCTTTCGAAAAAGTTGTGAGTCACTTATGGTAATGTAAGTGCCACCAAAATCTCAAGAATTCAGAGATAACAAGCGAAGCAGCTTAGTGTAACCAACTCTGGACCGATTTGGAAACATAATTCTTATATCTTACTGCTGTTCTCGCTCCAGTGAACAACCGCCGGCAAGAGACTCGCCAACAAGTAACAAGCGAAAAAGCGAGGCAAATGTTACAAGGGATCTCGAGCTATTTTAATCCCACTTTTCATCGATCCAGGCTGTTGCTGAATCGATTGATTGACTGACCTAGATGCTTGCCGGCTCCTCTACAGATGTTTGGGTAAAGTCTTAGGGTCTCAGCAGGTTTCAAGAATTTTGCGGTTATTTTCAGGAATCTGACCTTCCTGGAAATAGTCCGTCGAATCCTAGAGACTAGGCAGAATGAAGTAGAATGAAGCAGAATGAATTTCCCGTTTCTGAATAGCCGTTGACCAATCGNGTTTTAAATGGATTGGGCTTCTGCTGCTGATTATTGGACAAGGCATTAAAGTTCGCAGCTCGTGTTACTTAACTCTGTACCATTTTGATTACGGCGGCTGCACTATGCCCCTAAACCAATGAATCATCACTAGTTGCTTAACGCGAATTTCTGGTAGAAGTCAATTTGTATTCCGTAGAATTATTGAGTGACAAAGAGATTTAAGATAAGTTAGTGAAGACCACGAAGAGGTTTTATTGCAGTAATTGAAAACATATTAAAAAGCCAAGTCATACATCTGTTTTCAGGCCACTACCTAGCATCCCTGGCCACTCCGGCTGCGGAAAGGAAGTGATTAGACTCGAATGCAACTCTGTCGATTCTCTGAAGTCTTATATCTTCAGGATGCCTTTTCCATTCACTCAAAATTCAAAGCTTCAATAGTTGCCCATTCACAGCTCAAAGCCGACACCAAGACTTTAGGCTAGTTTCGATGTTACGGAGGGTCGCTTTCGCGCTCAAGTTTCTATAAGGCTATAATGTGCTACAAATTTTATTGAGTTGATATTGAACTGGAGTACAACTTTGGATACAAAGTCTGATTTATTTACGTCAAGTGCACAGCAAGCAGTGTCTTCGATACTACCGAATCGGGAGTACGAGAGAAATATTCCGGGGGTGCCTCAAAGTCGCCGAGTCAAGAAATGAGAAATTCGAAACAACCTTATTTATTTTCTGTGGTTTCTGGAGTGTTCTGCACCCGGTATTCACACAAAAGAATGTTGTTCAATTTTAGTGTGGCAGTGCTTTCCAATTCCCTTTGATTTATCGCGTATCGACGTTCAGATTTGGGACCTAAAACCACCAGCATGGTGACAAAACAGTTGGGGATAACATAGATGCTCAGGAAAGTGGTAATACCCGCGAAGCTGATGGCGACATTGGTAACCATAATGAAGTTGATGAAGAAACCAAAGCCATAGTGATGATACTGACGGTGATGACGATGGTGAGGGTAACAATGATGATGGTGATCGTGATGATAATGTGGACGATGACGTTGTCCGTACTGATGGCTTTGTTGAAGGTGATAATAACGATGGTGGTGGTAAAATGCCAACCATTTAGCATGCTTTGTTGTTGTCACGCCACTGATCATTTCACATATGAACCCAAAACAGGCTACCGATTTCATCGAAGACCTCTTCCTCGAATGTGTCCATGATTACCTCAACATGGAAACGAACGACGGGAACAGTCTTGTTGTCGGTTTTGTATCACCCGCTGTAAGTGATAATGTTGCTTTTGAAGGCTATCATTCTACGTTATTCTTCATGCATTGCTATGGATTACTTATTCACGTTTAGGGTTCTTGCCTGGTGTTACAAGTAGACTGAATAACTTGTAACTTAGTTGATATACATTAATCCGTACTCTCCTGAGTAAGACCACATAGTTTGGATGGAAACATCAGGTGCCCTTGACCTGTTTCATCGGAAATTTCAGAAGATGCGAGTTTCGAACAGCTGACATTGATCGATAGCAGATTTAAGAATTCTATCGTAAACGGACACAGTAACAACATTACCAAACATTACCAACAGTAACAACTAACTAACTAGCTAAAACGACACATTGGCCTGAGAGCACTTGGA